GCGCACTGTCAGCAGGGCAGTGGGCGCCAGTCAGTGGGCGCACTGTCAGGGCAGTGGACGGTGTGGGCCCAGTGTCAGTAGGGCAGTGGACGGTGTGGGCCCAGTGTCAGTAGGGCAGTGGACGGTGTGGGCCCAGTGTCAGTAGGGCAGTGGACGGTGAGAGTAATTTTTTTGTGGTTTTTTTTTTTTTTTTTTTTTTTTTTTTGTGAGTTTTGGTGAAACTGCTTACTATTCTTCAGCTGTGAATGGGCACAGTCAGTGATTGGTACTGATCAGACTGTATCCATTCAGAAAAGGAAGGGGCCAGTAAATTACATATTTACTAGCCCCTTCCCTGCTCTCCATCCTGAAACAACCACCGCAGCAGCTGTTGAAGGGGTGGGGGGGTGAGAAGAGGAACCCAGCTGCACTGAGGGTGGTCCGGTTGAGAACAGCACTAAATGCTGCCGTCCCTCCTCTCCAGGGTTGGCAACCGAGGGTCGCAATCTACCAGTCACCTGCCCACGATCATCGGGTTGTCGACCCCATATTAGACAGTGGAGCTCAAAGGCATAATGTACAGTCAACTAGAGTGCATCTGTACCTTGTAACCACTGTGATGGCCAAATCACAGTGGTCACAAATGTAGACAATATTTCCCTTCTTCCTCTGCCACTGATCCTGTGTTAGTAACACTGCTCTCAGTGACCAACAACTAAAGGATGGGGGGCCGGGGGCTGTGGTACATTAGGAGCATGTTGACCATAAAGTTGGCTCAGTGACCACCACAAAGTGTTAAGGGGGGCTATACAGGGAGCATATCGACTTTAAAGGGGGGCACTGACTACATGTTACGGTGGGGGAAAAAAACACTGACCACCAACACTAGTGATACTTACCACTGACATAAGAGGGAAACTAACCTGACCACTGAAACTTGCAAACTGTTATGAGTATTACATATTCCTGACACCTGCATTTTTTTTTAAACTGTTATATAGTATAATATAACCGTGTTTATTAAATACCACTAAAAGAAAGCTTTTTCAAAGTGATTTAAATTTTATTTGGGTACAGTGTTACATAACCAAGTAATTGTCAAACTAACTCAGCACTGAAAAATGGCCTGGTAAAGAAGGGATGTACCAAATGCGATTTTCTCCAGTGCTCCGGGACCCAGGCCGGTGGTGAGTAGATGAAATCAAAACTCCAGAAAAGCAACCACCGGAGTATACAAAGTCGTGCAGCTCCAAACCAAGGCTGGGGAAGCCCGAACAAAACTGTGAAGTGAAACAACAAGAAGCGCACCAACCTTGTGCATTACCTCAGTAACCAAAATTTATTTAGTAAAAGAATGGTACTCACAAACAGCGAATAAAAACAGGCATGTAAGTCCTCCAAGGGACTTCAAAGGCAAGAGGCCAGCGCGAATCCCATCATGGGGGTAGGCACTCAGTACAGTTGACGCGTTTCGAAGGTCATGCCTTCTTCCTCAGAGCTGGAGGAAGCAGCAGCTCTGAGGAAGGCGGCATGACCTTCGAAACGCGTCAGCTGTACTGAGTGCCTACCCCCATGATGGGATTCGCGCTGGCCTCTTGCCTTTGAAGTCCCTTGGAGGACTTACATGCCTGTTTTTATTCGCTGTTTGTGAGTACCATTCTTTTACTAAATGAATTTTGGTTACTGATGTAATGCACAAGGTTGGTGCGCTTCTTGTTGTTTCACTTCAAAGAAGGGATGTATACAGGCTAGTACTCTGCTGCAGTATTTCTCAACCTTTTTTCAAGGCACCCTTTAAAATTATGGATAATCTCAAGGCACCCTTTAAAAGCCTGCTCAATCTCAAGGCCCCCCTGTACTAAAATGTAAAAAAATTATTCTACACACATCCAGTATACCCAACGTTAGATGTGATTTATTCTTCCAAAGCATATACACCTTTGCACACTGGTACTGACTAGTATTCCAGTGTGTCTGTTTATCTCCCTCACTCTGCTAATGTGACCCCAGTGCTGACAGAGGGGCAAGCAAGGATTATCTGCATACACCCAACGTCCTTAACAACTGATGTCATTGGTTGTTAGGATGCAGGCAGCTAGAAGGTCATAAAAGTGCACAATGAAAACCTGTGGCTCTGCGTACTAAAAGGCAGGATTGATCTACCTGCTGGCTTGTATACAATTTTTGGGCATTTTGTCAAGCACCTTTGAAGACGCCTGAAGGCACACCAGGGTGCCTGGGCACCCTGGTTGAGAAAGGCTGCTTTAGTGGTTAAAACCAACATACTGTATACAAATAATGTCTAGCAGAGTTATGTCATACATGCAAGCACTGATGCCCTTCTGGGACAGTGACAGTCAGGGTGCCTGTGGTGACGTGGCTGTATCTCTTCATTCAGTTTGCATTAGAAACATAGTTATTCAACTGCAGGTTAGACCCAGAGCTATTCCCAGAGTCCTTTATGTATATACATATATTTTTCATGCACGCGTGTACTTTTACTGTTGCGCGAAATAGGTTTACCATAATTCTACACATTTAGAATTTGCCTGTTAGCAGTAGTTTATTGCTTATCATTTTGCCTGAACATGTTTTGTCTCGGCTCCAAAATTGTTGAATACAGTAGAGCAAGTGCTATTTTATCAAACGTGGCCAGTTTTCTCAGAGTTATCAGTTAATTGAAAGCTGGGGCAGCATAGTTGCTTAGTGGATAGCACTGAGGACTTCTAGACTACATGACTCAAGGGCTTTTTTTTTTTTTCACACCAAAGTCACTCTGAAGAGATATGGATTATTCTCCCTGTGTTAGATTCCTCTGGGTACCTCCCTGTTATCTTGGCTTTCACCCAAATCAGGGCAGCGGTTGATTGACATTGCAGGCAAAAATCCAGTTGTAAGTGTCTTCAGACCAGCAATAGATGTCAATAGCTGTGTATCAATCTTTGCAGAATATGTTGCCACTTAATAAATAAGTATAGCAAAGTGAATGTATACAAACCATAGAAGTTAAAATGGAACTGAATTCAAAAGTGAAGATTTTCTATGTGATGGGAAAGATTGAGAGATTCACATTTTATCTCTAATAGCACAAGCAGGAAACATGTTTGGGGGCATTTTGTACAACATTCAGTTGAGTAAATTACAGTGGCTTCGGATTGAATGAAAAGTTTATTTTTAGTAATATCAAAGTATATGTGTACCCTTACTTTGCAAAGCATCCTGTTGAGTTTGAAAAAAAATGCAAAACATTTGTGTTTATGTATGTGTATATATATATGTGTGTGTGTGTGTGTGTATATATATATATGTGTATATATATATATATATATATATATATATATATATATATATATATATATATATATATATATAGTTTAGTGTGTGTATAACTTTTAGAGCTATTTTTTATATATATATATATATTTTTTTTTTTTTTTGTAGGCGATCACATTACCTTTGTTCACAGCTGCATGAAAGGTTTAGAGGGATGGGGATGGAGAGTGGGGTGGGGTGTGACAGCAGGAGGCAACAGTACAGTACATTGATCCTCCCAGTGATTGGCTGGGCAGGGGCGTGTCAGCAGAAGTCTGATCATTGGAGTATGGCAGGCTGTGTTTCCATGTAGAAGGCAAAAAAGCAAACTGATCATACTGGGGTGGATGTGCTTCCATAGTGTGGTCAGTTTTAAATAGGAATGCTGGTGGACTGGAAAGATCACCTAGCATTTCACACAAAGGAAGCAATGCAAAGAACAGGGTACTGCAACTTTACAAACCGCACTATAGCCGAAAGACGGTTACAGCGCAGTTGTCCCGTTCTGGGAGGGACAGCTGATCATATGGCAAGGAAAAAGGCCAATCACAGCAGCATTTTACCATGTGATCAGCTGTGTCCAATGACACAGGTGATCTCAAAGTAAACACAGTTTGTGGTTATCGGCAGCACTTTCTTCACGCTGTCAGTGACCGGAAAGTACTGCCGATAACCGGCAAGTGTTAGAGGACATCTGCACTGATAATCAGGGCACTGGTTATCAGTGCAGCCCCAAAAGTGCCCCGCAGTACCACCCATCAGTTCCGCATATTAGTCTGCCGCATATCAGTGCAGCATCATCATTGCCTCCTCATTAAATCCCACCAGTGCTGCCTACAAGTGCCGCCTCATCAGTGCCCATCAGTGCAGCCTCAACGCACATCAGTGAAGGAGAAAATTTACCTGTTTGTAAAATTTTATAATCGAAAATACCACCAAAAGAAAGCTCTATTTGTATGGTAAAAAAATTATAAATATTTCATATGGGTACAGTGTTGCATGACCGCACATTTGTCATTCAATTGTGCAATAGTGCTGAAAATTGGCTTGGGCAGGAAGTGGGTAAAAGTGCCTAGTAGGCAAGTGGTTAATACTAGTACATGGTACCACAGACATATCAGAATTATGAAATGTTAGGGTAGTATACACTTTAAGTTACACAATTGCCCGTGCAGCACAATTATATGCTATATAATTTAATTAAATTGGAATTCTACTTTAATTATAAATGCATCTGTGCTTACATTTCTCTTTTGTTCCCCCTGCAAAGTGCCAAGTACTTGCTGATTCTGCCGGACAAATCCACCTAATGCACCTTCCTATGATGTGTGGCACTAATGCTGCACTACTCCTGAGTTCAGAGTTGCCCTACATTGGGATGAAAAAAAAATGTTGCAGGGGGCTTGACTATGCTGTTATCAATGACATGCCCGTAGCTAGCAGTTAGCACCTGACCACACCTATTCCTGTCCTTTACTTTTTGGATGTGAGCTGCAGTGTTTGAGAGGGGGTCATGTGAGACACAAAGTAAGAAGAATTTGGCTTTGCAATGGAGGTAAAGGATGTTTTTTGTTTACGCTAAGGCTTGTGCATCACATAATAACTTTATCTGGTAATTATTAAGACTGTCATAAAGAAACCTTTAGTTGTACTTTGAATGTATGTCCAGCAGTATGGTGAGAATAAACCCTCCACCTGCTCTTTTTCAGGGGCCCCGTTCTATGTGTGGTAATGAGCAATAGTGGGGAGCAGTGTTACAGTGGAGGAACAGATGGCATTATCCAGAGCTGGAATACACCAAACCCAAATGTGGATCCTTACGATTCTTATGGTATGTTATAACAGTAATTTTCAAACCCAGGAGTTCTAATCTCCACCAACTCTATCCAGAATTGAAACAATGTCTGAACACATTTTAAACTGCTTGAGTGACTTCATGTATTTTCATTTATATCTGATGTAATTAAGCCATTTCGGTGATTCTGTTCTATATGACATTACTGTTTTACTTGTGCATTTCTCTACCAGTTATGGTACATTTTACAGTTTGAATACTAGTCAGATTCAATGCCTGACCTGAATCTTTTATTTTCCCCAAACAAGATCCTTCTGTACTACGAGGGGCGTTTGAAGGCCACACGGATGCTGTGTGGGGCTTGGTGTACAGTGCGGCCCATCAGCGCTTGTTGTCTGCCTCAGCAGACGGTACCATAAGAGTATGGAACGCTCTGGAAGCCTCTCCTGCATTAACAATATTTAACGATAACCAAGGTAACATACATGTTAGCAGTTGAACGGAATACTGTTTTTAGGCTCCTAAAGTGTTGCTTTTATGTACATGAATAAGCTCTTTCAGAAGTGTTAATGGGGACTGTTCACATAAATATTGTGCTGTCCGATGGGGTGACACCTATACATAAAGGGTATAGAATCAAAGTGAATGTAAAAATAGCATTATTTTATTAATGCAGTTTTATGTTTGGGTGTTGACTACTCCAAAAAATGTGGATGTCCTCAATATTTTTACTTCCAGTTAAAAATACTGGAGTTCAAGCACACTTGTTAATTTTGCAGCAAAAATAAGAACATTTACCCTGGCAACATAAAAGCCACTCATCAACACAGGATAACCCTACCCCACAACCATCATGCCTCAGTTTTTTGCTGGTGTCCTCAGGAGAATGGATGTTGTCCATTTATTAGATTTTTCTATCAACAGCAGCTGATAAATTCATGCTGAATATGTTAAACCCTGGAAGACGCTCCAGTCGGCCACAAAGCAAACGTTTTCCCTGGTGTCCTCTCTGCCACATGGTTTTCTACTAGATGTAAGTTCAGGTCTTGCCTTATGCCAGCTTCAGGTTTTGGGTCCTTCATGTCTCCTCCATTTTGAGTTGTTTATTTTTGGGCCTGTTGGCATTTATTGCTGTGTTGCTCATGTGGCTATTGAACTACTTTTTCATGTTCCAATGTTCTAACTTCTTTGCTCCTCAAGGAATGACAAGGAAAAAAATATCTTTGTACTTGCCATAAATTCCTTTTCTTGGAGTCCTTCAAGGTATGCAGGTCCCCTCTACTGTTTATTTTCATGCGTTTGGTAGTACTTTGCTACCTGATAGTTATGGGCGGGCTTATCCTGTGCAAGAGCTTGTTTGTTTCCAGTATCCATTTCTGCCTGAAGGTTAAGAATTCCTGTCTTTTAATTGCCTAAAAAAAAAAAAAAAAAACTTTACAGTGAGTATTAAAACCCCATTCCCCCGACCCCTTGCCTATGTTCTACACATATTTTGCATTCATATTTCTAATAGAGGCAGGGAAAGCTGCAATGGAGAACGCCATTTCACAAAAGACAAAATAAATACGCTTACGCAGATTTATATAAAACTGCATATTGTGGATTAATTGTGATTTTTGCTTTTCTGCCCAAGGCTATATCTAAAAATGATGGTTTGGAAACCATGAATATGTGTGCCTTGGAAGCACAGCTTGATGAGTTATGCTGTCTTTTATGTTCGTATTTTATCTAATTAATTTAAGAAACACAACCCAGGACATGGTATATAATGTATCAGATCATTGATAAATTAGAAAATACACTGCTTTGCTCATGGTTGTCAACATTTCATATGTAAAGACAACTACTGACATAATGTGTAAAATTATATTTTCCTCCACAGACATAAGAGTTTTTCAGTACAATGATTGCCTTTTGAAAGAGTACTAATAAGTAGTAGAAGTAGATTGTGCTTTGTTATTCTAGTGATAGTCTTTGTGTATTTTGGAAACCACATATTTAGGACATACTGTAATTCTATATATCTTCATACTTTTTCTTGCTACTAGGGCAGCCCTAGCAGGTTAATGCATGAACACTTAAAATTTAGCACAACTGAACACTATTTTTCCAAATTACTTTAAAAGCTCTATAATTAAATTATAACTGAAGGCAAAGCTTTACCTTTTTTTTTTTTTTTTTTTTGTGCTTTGGATAGATGGGAGAGAAATTAGAAAACCTGTTAGGGTTTTTATTGCTGTCTGTGCCCCCTGTCACCCTCTTTGTAATGTCTCCTGTTATTAGTGAAAGTAAATGAAAATCCCAAATTTTGGGTTGTCCCTGGAACAGTAATAGAAGGGAAGTGTTGAACAAGAACACTAGTTTTGGTGTGCTTGTTGACAACCAGGGATTCCTGATCTTTGGAGGGATTTCCTCTCGCTTCCTATTTTGGCTATGGGTCTTGGGAGGGATGGGAAATCTCCCCAATGGGACAGAGATGGCAAAAAAAAAAAAAAGAATCTGAAAGGGGTTACAACCCTCCCTTACACTATCCAAAATAAATATTTGCCGTTAGTTTTACTTTCGGAAACACATAAAGCAGTGTCTATACATTGGGAGAAACCAACAGTTAAATGATTGCTTAAAGTGGTGTGATGTACATGAGAGCAGCTTCTCCCCCCGGGTCTCAGTCTCCTCATTGGCTGTGAGACCGCAGTGGGATCCATTGTTTCCCTTGGCTGTCAACCACAGTCAGTAAGGAGGGAGTTTGAGGGGTGGGGGCCAAGTGCTGTTCTGTGCGTCTTATGGCTTGCTGTGTGGGCACTCGGAGAGGAGGAAGACCCAGAAGCGCTGGCAGGGGACCCAAGAAGTGGAGGATCAGGGCTGCGCTGTGTAAAACAATTACACAGAACAGGTAAATATTGACCTGTTTTGTGTTTTTTTGTTTTTTTTGTTTTTTTTTTTTATTTACCTTTTAATATCACATATCAAGACTTTAAAAACACTTTGTTTTTATATACAAAGTTGGGTTGATCTACAGTGGGTAATGGTTAGGATATCCTTCTCTACATCATGATTAGGATAACATGCTCATTAAATGTTTTCAGTTTCTAATGAGCTCTGTTTTGCTGACTTTTTTCAGTCAGCAGTTTTTGAAATATAAGGCCATGAAGAATGAGAAACCTAGATGGTAATAAAAATGTACTGTATATGGTGAATAATTTCCATGCAGTTTAAGTTGAAGGTCTGTCCAAACCATGTGTGTACAGCAGGAAAATCAGCAAGCTGGCTGATACATGGCCCCAAAGGTGAAGGCTGCAATAGTTTGACTCTTGTAAACAATAGTGCTCGTTCCTGGGCAGACATGTCACCGTGCCCCAGAACTAGCACTTCCTCAGAGTTGGGCAGTAGCAACATCTGATGGTGAGCATTGACTTTAGCGATGAATGATAGATGATATGCATCCTTTTAACCTTCAATCAGCAGTTACTTTGATGGTATATATTGGTAAATATCTTTAACTTCAAAGCCTTCATATAAATAATTTTAAAAGTAATTGATTTTTTTGATAATGTGCTTTCTTGTACATTATTAACTTTTTAATTGTATACAGAATTAGGAGTTCCTTCATCTTTGGACCTTGTAAGTAGTGATCCAGCGCATATGGTCGCCTCATTTAGCAGTGGTCACACAAGCATCTTTAACATGGAAACACACCAGAAAGTTCTAACGTTAGAGTCTTGCATAGATACAGGTATGTCTCTCATTCTGATATTTCAATTTAATTATTACTGATGTTCTAATGTCTCTAATAAAAAAAACAAAAATCAATAAAACCTACTGTAATATTGTCTAATAGTGACAGGGGAATAAGATGTTATTATTATACAGGATTTATATAGCGCCAACAGTTTACTCAGCACTGTACATTATAGATAGGCGATAGATACCTCCATTTTACACTGGATGAGGGGTTTTTTTTTGTTTGATTTTTGTTTGTTTTTTTTTTTTACAAGAACTGCACTTTTATTCACTTTTGACTGCTCAGTGCTTAGATGTTATGAAAACTAGCAAAGTTGATAATGTGTACTCAAAATATCCCTGCTAAATTTGGAGTTCTCAGTTTTTTTTCAAATGCATGCATGCGCATGATGTGACTAGATTGAAAATACTGTTTGCAAAGGTTATTTTGTCATTCCCTGCTTTGTATGACAATTAAGATGTGGTTATTGCTTCAGCCTTCTACCCCGCTCCTCTACTCAGGCAAGTGTTAGGCCTATGCTAGATAGAAGCTAGCATTTAAGTAAATAAATCATACAAAAAACTAACATTTTTCTTTAACATAGAAATGTTTATTTCAATAGATTTATGCACGCATTGTTCTCTCTAGGTGTTAATTCTAGCTGCCAGATAAATAGAGTAATCAGCCATCCGACTCTTCCAATCAGCATCACTGCTCATGAAGACCGTCACATCAAATTTTATGATAACAATACAGGTATGTGTATACTTTTTGATAAAAAAAAATCAGTTATGGCCCCCCAAAAATTTCAAGGGTTCTTATATGTGGGGAATCACAAGGGTTCCTGTATGTACTAAACCTGCCCTAATGACTTTTGTTGTATACAGGATGATGGAGTTGTCCATGGATGGCCTGAGTATAGAGGTGCTCAGGAGATGGTCCCATAGAAATCTGTGGGAAAATATTTTGCAGGATTGGCCCACACAGAGGTTTTCAGAACAGAATGTATATAAACTACTGCATTTAAATAATACTGTGGAATTTATTTAATTTCTGAGATGATTTTTCAAGAGCACATGGAAAACATAAATCATAAACAAAATTAAGGCTATCTATTATATGGTTCCTGAAATAGAAATAAAAGTGGTTTAAAATATGATAGTGTTTTCAATTTAGTTGAATTGAGATGAGAATGTAAGTGTTTTGTAATATTTGACAGGCTATAACAAAGTTGTTGCGTTTTTTTTTTTTTTTTTTTTTTTTAATGTACCTTAAGTATTATACTGTATATGAGATCCTTTTATTAAGGTGGAGCTCTACTTAACGTGAGAAAAAATAAACAAAGCTACATCAGATTATGAAAACAAACAGAACTGATGCTGTTGTTCTTTGAAAAAATCCAGCATGTTGCAGGGGGAAAAAGTCAGATTTTCATATGTGAAATTTGGAATAATTTACAAAAACTTCCTTATGTAGAACTAACTTGCAGATTCTAAAGCTGAACATTACACTGATTTTTTTTTTTTTTTTTGTGCAGCATGCTGGCTGAACAAAAAAAAAAAATAAATCTAACATCCACGTTCCTCCATCCACAATATACAGTGCAGATAGATACATGTCTCACTGTGGCTAACACATTTTGATAGCCAGTCCCAGCTGCCAAAATACCCTAACAGCTGCATCTGATTGGATGCAGACACTGTTCAATCAATTTTCCACCCAGCTCCTTTGAATTTTTGGTTGAAGGGTGTTGACAGGGCTACTGTCAGCCAGTTCCTGTTGAAATACACATCATGTATGGCCAGCTTTATTTTCAAAAATGCAAGGCAAGAAGCTTTGTAACATTTACATTCCTGCCAGCCCTGAAGCTTTTCAAACATAGATTGAATAAATATAGACAGTTTATAGAATGCTTTGAATTTTTTATTTGCTGAATATTTGTGCATGCAATATTTTGGATACTCTTGCAATAGAACAAAGAATTGAGATTGAAACAGTATATACAGTGGATATAAAAAGTCTACATACCGCTGTTAAAATGTAAGGTTTATGTGATGTAAAAAAATGAGACAAAGATAAATAATTTCAGAATGTTTTTCACATTTAATGTGACCTACAGTTGTGTTCAAAATAATAGCAGTGTGTTGAAAAAAGTGAATAAAGCTCAAAATCCTTCTAATAGCTTTTATTTCCATACACACAAATGCATTGGGAACACTACACATTCTATTCCAAATCAAAACATGAAGAAAAATATATCAAATGTGTGTTGTTCCTCTAAAAAAAAAAAATTGAAGAAAAGTGAATATTAGACTGTTCAAAAAAATAGCAGTGTTTGTATTCTTCTTTACAAACTCAAACATTCACTATATAAACTGAAAAATGTTTGAAGATTTTGCTTTCCTTTGAATCACTTAATGAATATTTAGTTGCAAAGCACTGTTTCTGAGAACTGCTGTACTTCTGTGTTGCATGGAGTCAACCAACTTCTGGCACCTGTGAACGGGTATTCCAGCCCAGGATGATTGGACTACATTCCACAGTTCTTCTCGATTTCTTGGGTTTGCCTCAGAAACTGCATTTTTGATGTCCTCCCACAAGTTTTCTATTGGATTAAGATCCGGGGATTGGGCTGGCCACTCCGTAACGTCAATCTTGTTGGTCTGGAACCAAGATGTTCCACATTTACTGGTGTGTTTGGGGTCGTTGTCTTGTTGGAACACCCCCATTTCAAGGACATTTCCTCTTCAGCATAAGGCAGCATGACCTCCTCAAGTATTCTGATGTATTCAAACTGATCCATGATCCCTGGTATGAGATAAATAGGCCCAACACCGTAGTATGAGAAACATCCCCATATCATGATGCTTGCGCAACCATGCTTCACTGTCTTCACAGTGTACTGTGGCTTGAATTCAGTGTTTGGGGGTCATCTGACAAACTGTCTCCGGCCATTAGACCCAAAAAGAACAATCTTACTTTCATCAGTCCACAAAATGTTGCGCCATTTCTCTTTAGACCAGTCAGTGGGCTCTTTGGCAAATTGTAACCTCTTCAGCACGTCTTTTTTTCAACAGTGGGACTTTGCGGGGGCTTCTTGCAGATAGCTTGGCTTCACATAGGCGTCTTTTAATTGTAACAGTACTCACAGGTAACTTTACACCTTCTTTGATCTTCCTGGAGCTGATTGTTGGCTGAGTCCTTGCCATTTTGGCTATTCTTCTATCCATTCGAATGGTAATTTTTAGCCTTCTTCCACGTCTTTCAGGTTTTGGTTGCCATTTTAAAAGCATTTGCGATCATTTTAGCTGAGCAGCCTATCATTTTCTGCACTTTTTATATGTTTTCCCCTCTCCAATCAACTTTTTCATCAAGGTATGCTGTTCTTCTGAACAATGTCTGGAACGACCCATTTTCCTCAGAATTTGAGAGAGAAATGCACTGTAACCAGCATGTACAACATTTGCTGCCTTCCTTCCTTAAATAAGGACAATAATTGCCACCTGTTTTTTTAAAGAATGAATGACCTCACTAATAGAACTCCACACTGCTATTATTTTGAACATGCCCCTTTCATTTAGTGATTCAATTACACAGAATCCGCAGCATGCATGTCATGACTGTTGGGTGTGTTGGATTTCTATTACTCTACTACACCTGCTAGTAAATTATTTGTCATGTAGAAATATAATTTCTACCCAAAAACAGTGATTGATCAGGTTAGTGATGTCTGACTGCTGTTGTTTTGAACACAAGTGTATAAACTATACAACTCAGTTGAACAACAAACTGAAATCTTTTAGGTGGAGGGAAGTAAAAATAAAAAAACTAAAATAATATGGCTGCATAGGTGTGCACACCCTTAAACTAATACTTTGAAGCACCTTTTGATTTTATTCCAGCACTCAGTCTTTTTGGGTATGAGTCTATCAGCATGGCACATTTTGACTTGGCAATATTTGCCCACTCTTCCTTGCAGAAACACTGCAAATCTGTTAGATTGCGAGGGCATCTCCTGTGCACAACCCTCATCAGATCACCCCACAGATTTTCAATTAGATTCAGGTCTGGGCTCTGGCTGGGCCATTCCAAAACTTTAATCTTCTGGTGAAGCAGTTCCTTTGTTGATTTGGTTATATGCTTTGAGTCATTGTCATGCTGAAAGATGAAGTTCCTCTTCATGTTCAGCTTTCTATCAGAAGTCTGAAGGTTTTGTCCCAATATTGACTGGTATTTGGAACAGTTCATAACTCCCTCTACCTTGACTAAGGCCCCAGTTCCAGCTGAAGAAAAATAGCCCCAAAACATGATGCTGCCACCATCAGGCTTCACTGTGGGTATGGTGTTCTTTTGGTGATGTGCAGTGGTGTTGTTGCACCAAAACATATCTTTTGGAATTATGGCCAAATAGTTCAACCTTGGTTTCATCAGACATACACGTTTTCCCACATGCTTTTGGAAGACTTCAGATGTGTTTTTGCAAAATTTAGCCGGGCTTGGATGCTTTTCTTCATAAGAAAAGGCTTCTGTCTTGCCACTCTACCCCATAGCCCAGACATATGAAGAATACAGGAGATTGTTGTCACATGTACCACACAGCCAGTACTTGCCAGATATTCCTGCAGCTCCTTTAATGTTGCTGTAGGCCTCTTGGCAGCCTCCCAGACCTTTTTCCTTCTCATCTTTTCATTAATTTTGGAGGGACGTCCAGTTCTTGGTAATGTCACTGTTGCGTCATATTTTCTTCACTTCATGACTGTCTTCACTGTGTTCCATGGTATATCTAATGCCTTGGAAATTCTTTTGTACCCTTCTCCTGACTGATACCTTTTGACAATGAGATCCCTTCGATGCTTTGGAAGCTCTCTGCGGACCATGGCTTTTGCTTTAGAATGCGACTAAGACAATGTCAGGAAAGACCTACTAGAACAGCTGAACTTTATTTGAGGTTAATCAGAGGCACTTTAAATGATGGCAGGTGTGTACTGACTCCTATTTTAACATGATTTTAAGTGTGATTGCTTAATTCTGAACACAGCTACATCCCCATTTATAATGTAGCTGTACACACTTATGCAACCACATTATTTTAGCTTTTTATGTTTATTTCCCACCCCCTAAAAGATTTCAGTTTGTTTTTCAATTGAGTTGCACAGTTTATAGGTCACATTACCTTGCCTACTGGGCACTTATACCCCCTTCCTGCCCTGGCCAATTTTCAGCTTCCAGTGCTGTCGCACTTTGAATGACAATTGCATAGTCATACAACACTGTACCCATATGATATTTGTATAATTTTTTTCACACAAATAGAGCTTACTTTTTGTGGTATTTAATCGACGATGGGTGTTTTATTTTTTGCACTATAAACAAAAAGAGCAAAACATTTTGAAAAAAGTGTTTTCTTTGTTTCTATTATACAATTTAGCAAACAATTAAATTTTCTACTTCACTGATGTGCGTTGATGAGGCTGCATGGATAGGCGGCACTGATGGGTGGCACGGATAGGCAGCACTGATGGGTGGCACGGATAGGCAGCACTGATGGGTGGCACGGATAGGCAGCACTGATGGGTGGCACTGCTGGGCACAGGTCGGCGGCACTGCTGGGCACTGATCATCAGTGCCGATCACTTCTGACAATTGCCGGTTATCGGCAGTACTTTCCTCACGCTGTGATAGTGTGAGGAAAGTGCAGCCGATAACCAGCAACTGTATTTACCCGGTGAACTGCTGTGTCATTGGACACAGCTTATCACGTGGTAAAAGGCTGCTATGATTGGCCGTTTATTGTATCGCATGATCAGCTGTATCCATGGGACACAGTAATCACTGGCAGCGCAGGGGGCGTGTTCTGGAATGACTTCCAGAACTAGACAACCATGCTGTAGCCGTCTTTCGGAAGAAGTTAAAGGTGGAAAAAGTTCTGAAATGATTTATCTTTGTCTCTTTTTTTTTTTTTTTTTTTTTTTTTTTTCAATCACAGAAGCCTGACATGTTAACAGGGGTGTGTAGACTTGTTTTGTGAAAGCAGATATCCTGTAGAATACAGTGGTTGCAGATTCAGTTTTATATGCTTCATGTTATTTGCGCAACTGTTTATTTAATCAATATTTTCAAGAAAAAATACTAAAATGAATCTATTTGGGATTGAATTGGGATCTAAGACCCAATTATTTGGTAAAACATAAACAATAGGGTGACATCGAATAAACAGATATCAAACATGTCAAACCTTAAAACTGCATGTGCCCGTATAACAACAAGAAACTACAGAACCCAGAACTGTCCATACGCGACTACAGCTTATCGGTTTAGACTTAACCGCTTAACATGGTCCTAGCATTATTGCTTTTACCTTGATTTTTGTGGTGGTACCTTACATGTGGTGCAACTGTTTTTTTTTACATGTACAGTTGTGTTCAAAATATAAGCAGTGTGTTGAAAAAGTGAATAGAGCTCAAAATCCTTCTAATAGCTTTTATTTCCATACACACAAATGCATTGGGAACACTACACATTCTATTCCAAATCAAAACGTGAAGAAAAATATATCAAATTTGTGTTCCTCTAAAAAAAAAAAATGGAAGAAAAGTGAATATTAGACTGTTCAAAAAAATAGCAGTGTTTGTATTCTTCTTTACAAACTCAAACATTCACTATATAAACTGAAAAATGTTTGAAGATTTTGCTTTCCTTTGAATCACTTAATTAATATTTAGTTGTATAAGCACTGTTTCTGAGAACTGCTGTACATCTGTGTTGCATGGAGTCAACCAACTTCTGGCACCTGTGAACAGGTATTCCAGCCCAGGATGATTGGACTACATTTCCACAGTTCTTCTCGATTTCTTGGTTATGCCTCAGAAACTGGATTTTTGATGTCACCCCACAAGTTTTCTATTGGATTAAGATCCGGGGATTGGGCTGGACACTCCATAACGTCAATCTTGTTGGTCTGGAACCAAGATGTTGCATGTTTACTGGTGTGTTTGGGGTCATTGTCTTGTTGGAACACCCATTTCGAGGGCATTTCCTCTTCAGCATAAAGCAGCATGACCTCTTCAAGTATTCTGATGTATTCAAACTGATCCATGATCCCTGGTATGCGATAAATAGGCCCAACACCATAATATGAGAAACATCCCCATATCATGATGCTTGCGCAACCATGCTTCACTGTCTTCACAGTATACTGTGGCTTGAATTCAGTGTTTGGGGGTCATCTGACAAACTGTCTCCGGCCACTAGACCCAAAAAGAACAATCTTACTTTCATCAGTCCACAAAATGTTGCGCCATTTCTCTTTAGACCAGTCAGTGGGCTCTTTGGCAAATTGTAACCTCTTCAGCACGTCTTTTTTTCAACAGTGGGACTTTGCGGGGGCTTCTTGCAGATAGCTTGGCTTCACATAGGTGTCTTCTAATTGTAACAGTACTCACAGGTAACTTTACACCTTCTTTGATCTTCCTGGAGCTGATTGTTGGCTGAGTCCTTGCCATTTTGGCTATTCTTCTATCCATTCGAATGGTAATTTTTAGCCTTCTTCCACGTCTTTCAGGTTTTGGTTGCCATTTTAAAGCATTTGCGATCATTTTAGCTGAGCAGCCTATCATTTTCTGCACTTTTTATATGTTTTCCCCTCTCCAATCAACTTTTTCATCAAGGTATGCTGTTTTTCTGAACAATGTCTGGAACGACCCATTTTCCTCAGAATTTCAGAGAGAAATGCACTGTAACCAGCATGTACAACATTTGCTGCCTTCCTTCCTTAAATAAGGGCAATAATTGCCACCTGTTTTTCAAAGAATGAATGACCTCACTAATAGAACTCCACACTGCTATTACTTTGAACATGCCCCTTTCAATGAGTGATTCAATTACACAATCAGCAGCATGCATGTCATGACTGTTGGGTCTGTTGGATTTCTATTACTCTATTACACCTGCTAGTAAATTATTTGCTATGTAGAAATATCATTTCTTCTAAAAACAGTGATTGATCAGGTTAGTGATGTCTGACTGCTATTATTTTGAACACAACTGTGTGTGTGTGCATTGAGTGATGGGGTTGCTTTTCAAATTTATTTTGTAATTTTTTTGTAATTTAAATTTATTGCCATCAAAATGGGGATGACGAGGCTTGGCTTCCACTCCAGCTGATTTAGCACACCACTGTGCTTGATCGTCTGTTTACCTGGTGTTTTAGCTGGGATTCTAACAGCTCTGAACCTGGAAATAGTAAATAGGACATATCACAGTTTACATTTTTCATATTTTGAGAATTTTTCTTCTAGGCTGGCTGTCTTAGGTAAACAGTTTCAGCTGCAGCATTAAAGCCGATAGTGCTCATCCCCTGCCCGGAAATACATAATCTCGTATATATGTGATTTTGCACACCCCTGCCGCCCTGTGGCAGTATTTCTGCTATAGGGCGGCGGGGAAGCAGTTAAAGAAGAACCATTATTGGTGGTTTTTGCTTTGTTTTGTGTTTGTTTTTTATTATGGGTACTAACAAATTTGGCCACATCTGTATTTGCAACAAAACCTCATGCAATGACCAGCCATCCTCAGGAAGGATGACTATAGGGTCAGGTCCTGAAATCCACCAGCTATTGTTTCAGGGTCATAAATGAGGTCTGTGCTGTAAGTCTGTTTTATATTTTAATTTTACTTGCTGTTCCCATATATACCATATTTACTTTATTAACATATTCTTTTTCCATGTTTCCTATAGGAAAACTGATTCATTCAATGGTTGCTCATTTAGATGCTGTAACAAGTTTAGCTGTTGATCCTAATGGATTGTACCTGATGTCTGGAAGTGAGTATAGCTGGAATTAATTTACAATACAAAAGTTATCTTTGACCATATATAAAACTCAAATACTACAGCTTTTTAACTGAACTGTCTGAGAATCTGTCTAGGGAGAAATTTGTGCAATAGCTTGGATTACAGCAATTTGAACAATCATTCCCCACCCCCTTAACTCTTTAGTTGAATCTAAATGCCGGAAGGTGGGGGCAGGCATTCCAATCATGTGACATCTGTGATACTGTCACAGCCGTCACATGTTTGAACGCTCCCAATCGCAGGTATACTTCCCATTATATTTTACATACTATTCTGGGAGCACCTATTGAGCGTGCTCTCAGCACAAAAGGCCATTCCTTGTGAACGCTTATATGTAGCTGCTCAGTGTTAAAGCCCACCCGCCGAATTTGTGAATAACCTGAACTTATCCTCTATCAGTACTACCAGCTGGTAAAGCATGGGACTTCACTTTCTAAACATCCAGCATTTATATAAAATGATACCTAGTGTCTCAAATGTTCTACAGCACAGTTCTGCTGCAGCCAACATCTATTTCAGAAAATTAAATGACACATCCAGTACATTTTGCTCATTGTGAAGGCTTTAAAACCGCACAGCATGGAGGTGATTGTTAGAGTGAGGTATATGATTGTAGTGTGTTTGTTATATACTTACTGGTTCAAGGTGGGTGAAATTGTAGGCCAAAGAGCCACATGAATGACTCTATTTGCCATTTTAACTTCCCACAGTTGAGTGTATTTTGAGCTGCTTGCGTTGATAGCTAACAAACACTGAAAATGAGAAATCGGTTATATTTTTTTACTGTGGCCTCGTTCACACTATACATGCAGAAAAACTGATGGAAACTGACATGCAGATTTCACTTGCAGATATCAGTTTACATCAGTTTTCATGTACGCTTCAATGAGGTTTATACATATTGCAGATTCCTGAGCATTATGGTGTGAACAGGGCACATAAAGAACAATTGATTTCATTATACCCTTGCCGAACGCATGCAAAAAACCTGACATCTCTGCACCATGGTGTGAACGGACCCAAAATATTTCATAATCTTTCTGTCAGTGAATTAGAGCTGAATTCCAGGAATTTAGCAACTTTGTAAAAATTGCAGGCACATGGTGGTTAACTCCAACCAGGTGCCTGCAACATTGGAATATCACTATTATTTATATCTCAAAGGCCTATGGCTATGCTGAGGATACTCTGAGACACTGGGGGCTGAGAGAGGAGAGAAGCATATACAGCATCTATGTCCACCCCTCCCCTTTGCTGCCCATTAACAGAAGCCTTTCTGTTTTGTGAATAAGTTCACACAATACACAGGCTTCTGTGGTCAGGAGGAGGGTAGTTGTGGGCATAGTAGCTACGCTGACTCTACACTTGAAGGCGCTGATACCAGAGTTGTGCTGCATCTGATCTGCTCCAGATGTCATCTTGCTAGAGGCTAATAAAGCTGTCAGATATAAGTAATAGAGATAATTCCAGGAGGTGGCAAGGAACCTGGTTGGAGTTAACTCATTGTGTGCCTGCACTTTTTTTCAGCTTTAGGTTTGGTATTTTTTTTTTATTATGGTCTTTTATACTTCTGTTACAGGCCATGACTGTTCTATACGTTTATGGAACTTGGAAAGCAAGACGTGCATACAGGAATTTACAGCTCATCGAAAGAAATCTGATGAATCAATCCATGACGTAGCATTCCACCCATCAAAATGCTACATAGCAAGTGCGGGCGCTGATGCCCTTGCCAAAGTTTTTGTATGACATCAATATTACTAGTAGCTTTTAATTTACCCAAGCAGCCACGTGAAACCAGAGACATTCAACTAATGCCAGAAGATTTGATTTAGTCGGACTTTCTTCTCTTCTTTGTGTTCAGTGATCAGGATAAGATATAAAAATAACGTTTTGGGTTTAGTTTTGTTGGGTGCTGTTTTCTAATCGGATGGTTTGTTCAGGGTGCTGTGAACTCATCTGGATCTTGGAGCCAGGATTCTGTCTCGTAAATGACTTCTGAGTTACAGTAGCAGAATTTTATTTAGAAGAGTGCATATTTGACCAGGCAGGCCTGGATCAAATTAGCTCCCATCTGCCAGTATGTATTGCGGCTGTGGCAACTGGAATAGGTTATGGGAAAGCTGACCATTGAAATGGCAAGTAACTACATGATAGGAAACATAGCATGAGAGTTCTTACCATTTCTGTTCACCAACTGCTCTAGCAAGTTCTTTTTAAGAAAAAAAAAAAAACATAGACCTGCCCAAATCTAATTGTGCATCTTTCTAACTGTTAGCAGCTATTTGAGCAATGGAAAATGAGAGTTCCTATCTCTTGGGGAGAGAGTAATACCTAAGATCATTGTATAAAAGTACAACAGAACATGTATTTGAGGTTTTTTTGACTACAGAGATTTGTACCCTTTTGAATGTACTACAAGAAAACATATTTGGTTTCTGAGAGGGTAAAATGCTTTTAATATATTGCCCATAACATACCCTGTCAAAAACACATTTATCTCTTCTTTAGTAGCGGCTTAAAAAATTGCTTTTTATTCATAAATGATTTTGCTGCTGGTTTTTTTTTAGGGTACCTCTGGGTACCCTAAAAAGGTAGTGTTTTTAGGATTGCGTTCAGTCCATGAATCTACTCAAAACGTGACCTGTAGAGAAAAAGTCTGAAGCTGGAAAGTAAGATAATACATGAGTTTCTGAAAGCTGTTCTTTGCTAGGTTATTTTCCCAGATAATACTACATGTATGACAGGATACGAGGGGCAGAAAATATTGGCTCAAATACTTTTTGCAACGTGGTGATCAATGGAAAAAATTGAAAGGAAAAGTACTTGTACTTGACAGTACCCTAAAGGTTCAAAGAGTCCAAATCTTATGCTGGCCATGCAAGGTGACGTAAATATAGTGCAGGGTTGATGTGGTAGGTCACAGGGTTTTTTTTTTTTTCTACAGAAAGTTTAAATCACATAGGATAGGCCCATGTACCATAAAACAGTTTTTCAAACCATACTAAATTGTATAATACTTTAAACCTCCATATACTTATCCCCGTATACTACTGACCAGTTATGTATATGTAGGGAGCTGACTGTAACACAAACGCGTTGTATAAAGGAGTATATTTTTGTCCTTAGATGCTTTTTATACAGTGGGATGAGAGCAGCTCAGCATGTTTCTCAGATTAAACAGGATCTACTTCATCGGTAGAGTATTGTAGGTGTATATGATGTAAGTATTTGTCAACCAATTGTATCACAGTTGAAACCATAAAAACCTTCCACAGGCGGCACGGGCAATATTTGAAAGAATGGACCACCAGGGCTCCTATACCACTTTTAAGCACTTATTTAGCAGATGTAATATGCATGGATACCTTAAGGGCAATATTATTATAGAAAACAGTGTAACAGATCATTCGTGAAAATGACAAGACCAGATTCCCAATTATACAAATGTAAAGGTGTCCCAATTTTCACTTTAGGGCATAACGAAAGTTATAAAGGTCCAGATTACCAGCGTAGAGGGAACACAAAAGCAGTCACATATGGTTCTTTATATATATATATATATATATATATATATATATATATATATATATATATATATATATATATAATATTATATATGTGTGTGTGTCTAGTCCAGTTGTATATAGGGTGATTGTTTTTCAGCATAATACAGTTTAGCAAGCATTGAAAAAAGTTTTATGGCACATGGTCTTAAGAAACTTTAAAGTGTTAGTAAAGTCCAACTAAAAAAAAAAATGTTCCTTTCTCCTGTCCTCCTACCTATCCTGCATACACTGTATAAAATAACTTGAGAATTTACATTTTTTTTTTTTTTTCTTTTTTCAATCTGGTCCAGTCGTGATTCTGCAACTCTTTCTCCTTTGTGCAAGGGAGAGCTGGACAGTGGCTTTGAATTCCTAGAGCCATGATGCCACCCATAGGCTTCCATGGTCCATTTGTTGTCAGCGCTTCCTTCTCTCCCCTGCAGCAGCTGCTCCCTGATACTGGGGAGCTGGAGTTGATGGATCACATACTGGACAAGATTAAAAATAGGTAAGTGCACAGATAGATCTTTTTTTACACGGAGCATAAAAGCATCAACATTGTTGGCTAAACCAGCTGTAATATATCAATTAATGCATTTTTTTTTTCAGCAGAATTCTTCAATATGATTTACTTATGACATTATTTGAAAAATAGGTGCAGATTGCCAGTCCTACCATTTTTAGATCTCATTGCAGGTCCCTAACCTTTGTATACCATATTAAGTTATATCAAGCCAAAGTTTACCAAATAGTGAAGTTCCAGAGCCATTTCCACATTTCAGCTAAGGACCTAATAATTTGGCAATCACTTTTACTTATGATACTGAAAAGAAGCATATTTTGTGGGGGGGTGGGGTGGGGGGGGGGGGGTAGGGTCAAACAAGACGTTCTTTTGGTGATTTTTTTTTTTTTTTTTACCTTTGTAATTATTTTAAAGGCAAAATGGTAAATGTTTTCTTTTTGACCAGCATTCATTTTAAAAAAGGGTGTTAAAGCTGAAGTTCAGGCACAAAAACTTTCACTTAAATATCTTTCTCTGTTGTCAAAAAAGCTAAAAGCCCACTTTGTGTGCACCAAATGCCATTAAAAAAGCTAAATCTTACCTTGTTAAAATATTGGTGACATCATCCGTGTGCTGCACATAAGCCTGTACAGCGAATACAGCTGTGAAAGGGATATAACTGGTCTACCCAGTACAGGCTTCCTGCAGAAAACTACAGGGTTGTGTATACAAGACCACTCACCTTGCACAGGGAGACAAAACAGCAGTGACTGGTCTAAATACAGGAAACTCCTGCAGAGGCAACATTTCACACTGGATTACTGCACACAGCTGAAAGATCGCACAAAACGCACTCAAGATTTATGCAACAATACACATGCCTCTTGCATTAATGTTCATCTCCGAACTCCGCTTTAATTTTAGTTTAATTGCTCTTTTTCTAAAGACACCACTTGGCATATGTGTTTCTTTAACTCTTATGTTAAAGACTTTTAGTTACAAAAAGAAAATGTTGGGCTTTTTTTATTGTTTGCAACAAAAACTCATATGAAAAATAACAAATAAATAAATTGCATTTAGCTGTGGTGAGAGCCCAAGATAGCTACAGTGGTAGAAGTGCTTGCTTTTTACCACGCACAAAGCAGGAACTACCAGGCAGTTATATAGCAATTCTGCTTCACAAATCAGAACTTCAGTAGGTTCTTGCAGCTACACGCAGGTATAGGCTCACCAGGGAACAACTCTTAAGACATACAAGCTACAACCTGTGTTTTTAAAGTGGACCTATACTTACTTTTAGCTATGAGGAATTATTTAGCATGATATAAATGGTAGAACACTTTATTTTTTTTTTTTTTTTAAAGAATATGTTTGAGCATACCTTTTCTGATTAGAAGCAGCAGAGCTGCTCAGATGTGACCGGGCCTAGGCACTCACCATTCTTGGAGCCTCACGGGTACCTTTAATCACTGGATTACACTGATGGCTTCATTAGGCATCCTGATCTAGGAACAAGAAGAGCTGCCTTTTGATAGTTTGTGCCTCGATTAACATGGTGGCCTCCTTGGGCCTAGACAAAGGAGTAGTTGAAGAATGCCTATTTTAAGTGCTGAATCTTTCACAACTGACTTGTATTGCAGTGTTAGAAGGATAAAGTTGCCTACATTTAGATCCAGTTTTTACTGTTTAAATAGACAGAGCAAGTAAGCCTTCACGTCTAATCAGAATTACGCTTTCTTGGAATTGGCTTCAGTTACTAGATGTTGTTACCAAGGTTTACTTTTATCATTGCTTCTTGCACAGTCTTCTTTGAATAAGCCTACTTGTATAATAAAAAAAAAAAAAAAACAGCACTCCAAAACTTTGTAATATATTAATTATGGTAAAAGATTAGGGATTTTTTGCTTGTCCTTAAACTTCTAGTAAGTCTATTTCAGTCAATGTTTAGGCAGACAAAAACTAAGAACATGCTGAGACTGCCTGAAGTTACATAGAAAGGGATTGAATTAATGGTTGGGGATCAGCGCGCTAGTGAAAAAAGTAACAATTTAGTTATCTTGTTTCCATTTTTTGCACAAACCATTTTGTTCCGAATCATTTACCTCACTTGAATTGCTTTGTAAAGATTCAAACTGTTAATATAAGGTGAACTAAAGGGATATCCTAAAACATGGCAGCATATAACTTTATAAAGAAATATTGCAGCGTTTTGTAATTATGCATGGTTGTGCTCATGCTTACCAAAGTTCACTTGTAATCTGCTTTCAAATACATATTCAGAATAATTTCCAAGGATTTAAAAAGTATTCCCCTCTGAAAGTATATTTCAGACATTGTAAATGTTTTGATGACTGATAAATTATAGTTGTTGTCAGTTTCCCATATATCCAATTTTGCTGGACTGATATGAAGTGCTGGAACACCAATCCCATTCCAGCTAGCTGCATCGTTTTAATAAACCACATGAATTCTTTTATACTATAGAAATAGACTATAAATCAAACACACGCTGATCTTTGGCTGTTGCCAAGAGATGCTCAGAACAGCTTGGGTAATTGAGAGCCTCTGTAACGTCATATTTATGTTGAAATAAATTGATAAACATCTATGAGTATATTAACAAATTGTACTGAAATACCACTAAATTAACCTAATTTTTTTTTACTGTTTCCGGTTTGTTAAAAGGAAAGTACAGTATG